GAAGCGGCCACTGCACTCCAGTCTGGGCGACAGAGTGAGACTCCAACTCAAAAAAAAAAACAAGTTAATTTAAAGAGTTAAAGTGAAGGGTTCCTTGGCAAAATCCCCACATTTTTTTCTTCCTGTAAATCTTCTACATATGAATAGGCCTACCTTAGACATGTGGTACTGTTTCATTGTCTTTAAAAATACTCATTTATTTCTGTTTGATAATATTGCCTCTATTATTCCCTAACATTTGACAAATCTTAGTAGAGGTGATTTTCTATGGATGTGAAAATACTTTGCCTTATAGCAAACTAAAAAAATCACACTGAAGAAACTGAAAATGTACGTTTTTGTCCTTGGTTTTAGGTGGATTATGTATTTACAGATAAGACTGGAACACTCACTGAAAACAGCATGGAATTCATTGAATGCTGCATAGATGGGCACAAGTATAAAAATGTAACTCAGGAGGTTGATGGATTATCTCAAACTGACGGGCCTTTAACATATTTTGACAAAGCAGATAAGGTAACATTTTTTGCATTGACATTTTATCTGAGAAATCAATCTCTGTATGCATGTGTTAACCAGCAGAGTAGAAAATAGTATTTTAGTAGGTGCATACCATAGACTTTTGAATAGCCATTTGTTTGTTCTTTTGGCTTCACCTTTCTTGTTTTACTAACACCTCCAGATTTTGTAAATGAGTAGAATTTACAAGTAGAGAGAATTGTGGGAAATGATATTTGGGTAAAAGCTTGCTTATCTGTGTGATCATAATTTTTTGAGCTTTATCTTTTAAAATATAAGCTCCTCCAAGAAAGATGCCTATTCAAATGATTGAAGTCCCAGGAGTGTCTAGGTATTAAATTAACCAGAATCTTCCCTATGCCTTAGCTATTTCTGGATTGTGAATTAGATACTGAATGAACACTTTCAGTTCATGAAGAAGTCATTGCTTTGGTTTAGGTGACACTACAGTAACCTGAGTGAGTTAACACAGCTCCTAGTGTATGCTAGCAGAGAACCAGGAACTCTGTTAGGTGCTAGGGGGATATATAACTCACTTGAGTATTAGGAATGTATAAACTTCTGTTACTTAGTTTGTTAGCGGTTATAACATTCTCTCTCACTAATGTATTGTCTCTGTTCATTGCCTAGTTACCAAGTGATCAAAGTAAAAATAATAGCCATTCTTCTGTTGCTGTTCCATAGAATCGAGAAGAGCTCTTTCTGCGTGCCTTGTGTTTATGTCACACTGTAGAAATTAAAACAAATGATACTGTTGATGGAGCTACAGAATCAGCTGAATTAACCTATATTTCCTCTTCACCAGATGAAATAGCTTTAGTGAAAGGAGCTAAAAAGTAAGCACTTCTTGTACTTCTCCTGAGAAATGAAATCATAGGAGGACAGAAGTTATTAATATTTTGGTTTCTCTCTGTTTGCTTTAATAAATGTATATATCTCCTATTACTTAATAAAAGCCATAACTGCTGTATCCAAAAGTTTGTGAAAAATTCCTAAATCTAACCAATTAAGGCCAAAAAGAAAATAGTGATGCATAGATATAATTTGCCTTGCTATTTATGCCAGCCAGAAGTCTGAATGTTCATATTATATTTTGCAAGTCATATACAAATGTCCACTTTTTGCACAACACTTGTATTTCTGAAGTGCTCCCAGCAATTTTGACATCGTTTGACTGACAGTCCAGTTTTACCCGCAAGGCCCAAGATGATTAAGTGGCTAAAAGGTCACACAGAGTGTTAGCTGCAGAATTTAAATCACAAATTGCCCCTCTCTCCCTTGGTTATGTTGACTTGCTCTGTGTTACCAACTCATCCAGGAAAAGAAAGCACAGTTATAGGTTGTGATCATATGAAAGAGAAGAAAAGAATAAAGAAACATGAGTAACCCCATTGCGAGGGAAATTAATCATTCTTTAGAGATACACAAAGGTCTTTTTTATTGTTTTTGATAGGTACGGGTTCACGTTTTTAGGAAATCGGAATGGACATATGAGAGTAGAGAACCAAAGAAAAGAAATAGAACAGTAAGTAGCTCTGTGTTCGATGTTTGTCACTTCCTAACCCCACAGTCAACTTTAAATGACTTCAGGCAGAGCAGCAGAAACTGATGCCCCTATAAATACAGGACTCTACTCTTCCGATTTAGAATTTTATGTAAATGTAATTGGAGTAGAAGCCATTTTTCATGAATGACAGATTTTATGGTTTGGTTTACATATGGGTTCAGTAGCCCAAATGAATAGTCTGCCTATAGTGCTTCTGAAATGTAGATGTCATTTCAGATCTCTAACACATGCTGCAAGAAAAATTAGTGAACATAGATGAAACCTTCTGCTGTCCAGTGCCCAAGCAATCACTCTGGGATTGTAAGCTCAACCAATAATGGCAGCTTTGGTGTAAACCAGAAGCTTTGTCTTGTTCTAGATGTTCAGGTGTCAGCCTCAAGGCAAGTAACCTGATATAGCAATGTCTCCACATTTTCTCTTTTGCCACAAAAACCTCCAACAAACAAAGCCACCTTGGCTTAATGGTGAATTTTAATTAGGTTCTGTGATTAATTTGAATTTCTTCATTTGAATTTGAAATGTAATTATCTTATCTTACTTTCATTCTGGCCCCTAGGATCTCTTGAGACCCGTCTTAGAAACCTGTAATACATGTAGAGGCACTTGGGTAATGTGCCATTTTGAAGAGGGATGCTCAGAAGCCCAGAGGAAGGTTCTTGGTCTGACTGCCAGAGACCTAGGGTCATTGTCAGATTTCAGATTGACTGTCAAAATTCAGATTCTAACCAGTCCACAACAGTGTCCCCATCCTGGCCAACTCCAAACAAAACACTACATGTAGATATCCAACACATACATACTCCCCCAAAACAAATGACCTCATCCCACTAAAAGAAGCTGTATAATAAATATTTTTATGTTAAATACATGTATCCAAGTTGTTTATTTTCAAGAAAGTATTCCCTCACATTGTTTCTGATAATTAACTTTTAACTCTTCGGATCCGTTCATTGATTAATTGTTCAGCCATCCACACACAAATCTGATCAATCTCATCGTGTCATTCCATTGTTTAAACCTTTCGTTGGCTTTCAATTGCTCTTAGGATAAAAACCCAAATTTCTGAAATGTCCCACAATGTTCTATTTTCAGCCCCTAAATGCCTTTCTTGCTTCATCTCTTGCTGTTCCCCTATTAACAAGTTTTTCAGGCATTGGTGAATTATATCAAGTCCCTTATGGACTATGTGTTATCATGCTGCTGTGCCTTTGCATGTGCTCTTTCCTCTACTCAGAGTGCCAAGGCCCCCTTGCAAATTTCAGCTCAGGCATGTCCTCTTTCAGGAAGCCTTTCTGTGTTCTTACATCTCCTCTGTGAGTGCCTTTGTTACAATATGTGACAACTGGGAGGTAGTTATCTCGTTACCTTCTGTCTCCCTTATGGTGAACTCTTCCAGGGAAAGGACTCAGGCAGATTCACCTCTATTCCCCAGCACCTAGCATGTGCCTGGCACAAAGTAGACACTCTATAGATGCTAGTGAAATAAATTGGCAGAGTTAGGACCATTTTTAGATTCCTCCAGATATGGCTTGGTGGGACACCTCTTTGTCCTTCATTGCAATTTGGTCATTCTTATAGTGTAAATAAGATACTAAGAGAATATATAAGTACATCTCAACCAACACTGGTGTCCTCAGATAGCTTATTCTGTTTGCAGAGAAATTCCAATGCAAGGGAAAGTACCAGTTGTGCACACAACCAGCGGCCTTCTAGCAAAGAGGAGAGCTGCCTGTTCATTTAAGATGTTTACATATCTTAAGATGTTCCTGTTTCTCATTGTAGTCTAGGTATTTTATTTTTCTCATTTCTGTTGCCTTAAAGGTATGAACTTCTTCACACCTTAAACTTTGATCCCATCCGCCGACGTATGAGTGTAATTGTGAAGAGTCAAGAAGGTACACCTCTTAAAAACTGGACTTTTTCCCTTTTCATTTGTAGGCTTATATATTGATCAACTATTTCAGGAAAGGTAAACATTTCATGTAGTAGAGTAGGATTAGCTAGAGTCATGCAAATCAGTAGCTTTTGTATATGCCTTCATGTATTTAAGTCCATATGTTCAATTTGCCAAATTGTCAGTGATAGAACCCCTGGTGTGATAATGCATTTTCTTGAAAACAGAACCGTATTTCTCTGCCCTGGGTTTTCAGACAGGAACTGAAAGAATGAATTTTATGTCTCAGGGTACCCACCAGTTACCAGTGATGTTTATATGCCACAGCCCAGTATAGTGTGTGATCCGGGATTACTGGCAGTAGAAGCCTTGAGTGTAGATAGTTGCTGGTTATCCCTTCCTGGCCTTTCTGGTTCCCCTGCTGTTGTACACTCCCTGGAAGCAGGTGAGGTAGAGATGACTAAAAGCCAGGCTTCTGGGAAAGGGCATTGCAGTTTCACTCCAGAGGTCTGGCTCTTTGTTTAACAGAGTAAAGCTTGCCCTTTGCAGGGAAACCATCATCCCAGGCTGTCCCATATCTTTGGGAGGCACCATAGTGGTTTTGCCTTCTGCTCACATTATGCAAGACCCATGAGGAGCACTCCTACTTCATCTGCAGACTCTCAGATGCATGTGTGTGTGGTGTGCTCAGGTGGTTTGTTTTTTTTAAAAAATCCTTGATGTATGTTTCAGTAATTTAGTATTACATTTGTTCTAAATTCTTTAATGTGAGAATGGGAGGGTACACACAGACCCTTGGGGAAACATAACCTGCTGTATTTATAATTTGTGGTATGACTGCAAAATAGTGAAATTGATTTTTGGTGATTTTAGTGTGTCATTATGGGATTTGTTTTGTGACTTTAAAACACTTTTTGCATGTGTGGAAAAATGAAAAAAATGCAACATCTAAAACACTGTTCTTATTTTTACACATCCACAAATATGTTCTACTGAAAATGGTGAAATGTCTGGGAAAGTGGTCTACAAAGGTCATTGACCTCAGAGCTACACTTTTTAATTTGTTGAATTCAGCTGTTTCCCTTATAAGGATAAAGTGTCTGAGTGCTTCAAGTGTGAATATTTCCTGGGTGTATGAACTAATCTAAAGTTGCACTTGAACCAGTATTCTACAAAACTATTCTCATTTCCAGTAAAAACCATCAAACCACTGTCTTAAAAACTAACTTTTATAGTTTATTCAAAATGATTTTGGCTTGTTTGAGCTTGGGATTGATTTTTGATATCCGTAGATGCACCATATTTGCACTCTAGGCCATGAATGACTACGTTTTCAAAAAGAATTCAGGTGCAACTCCTTGGCACAAGCCTAGTCCTCCATGATTTACTGGGAGGAGGTATGTTTTAACAGAGGTGCATGTGGTAAAATCTGACTTATTAATTGTGTCCATAATGGCCTAAAGAGGTGATGAATATTCTTCTGACAGACTAAACGTTGAGCTGTCTCAGTCCATTTGGGTGAACGTTGCAAGACAGCCTCAAAATACATGGTGGGAGACGCCATCTTAATAGTTATCTGCTATTAAAGTCACAATACCAATCTTAAAATTCTAAGTCGAGTGCTTTCTTTTTTATTTTAGGAGACATACTTCTCTTTTGTAAAGGAGCAGACTCAGCTGTTTTTCCCAGGGTACAAAATCATGAAATTGAGTTAACTAAAGTTCATGTGGAACGTAATGCAATGGTGAGCCTACACTCTTCCCCTCAAAAAATAAGGAAACAGAGAAATGCTGGAAATGACCATGTTTATGGGATTGCTATTTAAATGATTGGTGAAATGAATTTTACCTTATTTTTTTGCATTTGGTCTATTTTTTGAATATGAGGATTTAATGATATTATTTTTCTTATTTTAATATAAAACATTATCCTGGAGCAAGTTTTTAGTGAGAATTTACAGCTTTAAAGACTTTTCAATAATGCTTTTTAAAAGGGCTATTATTTTGTCATTCTGAACCTAATGAATGTTACCCTTTTATTTGTAATCTTTCATTTTTTAAAACTAAAAATGTGGCCAGGTGCAGTGGCTCATGCCTGTAATCCCAGCACTTTGGGAGGCAAGAGGATTGCCTGAGCCCAGGGTTTCAAGACCAGCCTGGTCAACTTGGCAAGACCTCATCTCTACAATAAATCAAAAAATTAGCCAGGCGTGGCGGCGCATGCTTGTGGTTCCAGCTACTTGGAAGGCTGAGGCAGAAGGATCGCCTGAGCCCAGCAGGTCGAAGCTGTGGTGACCTTGAGCATGCCACTGCACTCCAGCCTGAGCAACATTGAGACTCTGACTCAAAAAAAAAGCTAAAACTGTGTCAGAATTTTTTTTTGTACATATGGGTAAAACAAGAGTAAAGAGTGTGTGCTTTTTTCCTCCCAAGTACTATTATCATTATTAGAATAACTACAGATCTTCTACTTAATTTCTAGGATGGGTATCGGACACTGTGTGTAGCCTTCAAAAATATTGCTCCAGATGATTATGAAAGAATTAACCGACAGCTCATAGAGGCAAAAATGGCTTTACAAGACAGAGAAGAAAAAATGGAAAAAGTTTTTGATGATATTGAGACAAACATGAATTTAATTGGAGCCACTGCAGTGGAAGACAAGTAACTAGAAAATGATACTCTTGTTATTTTAATTACCAGTCATTTGGTTGGGATCTACCTGATTAGTAATTTATTCTCAAGGTTTGAAGTCTTTGATTTAGCTTTGTTTTCTAAATGGGCCTAGAGATTCATTTATTGTAGCTAGTATGAATAATTACACCAAATTTTGAAATGTTTGTGGGAATGACTTTTAAGTTAAAGACATGTAATTTAGAAGAATGAGTCAGTTATCACTAAGGTCTTTTGAATACTTACTAAGCCATCTAATTACTTACACAGATATCTATGAAATAGTCTTGGCATGTGTAGGGAAGGATGCTAGAGCCATCATTTGAGCTGGTGCTTGAAAGAAGGGGTAAGATTTTGAGAGACAGAGATGAGCAGAAAGGAAATTCAAGGTAGAGTAAACTGCATGAGATCTTAATCTGACTTGCTTTAACAGACCAGAGTATGTTTTGCATACTTTAAAATAATATGCTTTTTACTGTACAGGCTGAGCTCTTCTAGACATGATTTTGTACCCTGGTAGTACTCCAGCATTGATCTGCTTGAAGTAATAAGCTTTAGATTCTTAATATTTTGGAGTTTTCTAAAAATTATAAATGCAGATTATGAGACATCACCAAACAAAAAGTTATCTGGGCCGAGTGATGTACACCTGTAGTCTCAGCTACTCTGTTGGCTAAGGTGGGAGGATCACTTGAGCCTAGGAGTTGCAGTCCAGCCTGGACTAAAATTAAAATTAAGCCCAGCTTGGTGGCTCAGCCTGTAATCCCACCACTTTGGGAGGCCAAGGCGAGTGGATTGCCTGAGCCTGAGGGTTCAAGACCAGCCTGGGCAACTTGACGAGACCTTGTCTCTACAATAAATCCAAAAACAAATTAGTCGGTCATGGTCATGTATACTTGTAGTTCTGGCTACTTGGAAGACTGAGGCGGAAGGATCACCAGAGCCCAGCAGGTCGAAGCTGGGGTGGCCATGAGCGTGTCACTACACTCCAGCCTGGGCGATGGAGTAAGACTCCAACTCAAAAAAAAAAATTAAAATTAAATAAATTTTTAAAAGGTACAAACATATATTCAACCACATTGGAAGGTATTGAAATTCTAATGAAATTCATTTAGTCTAATTTCACTGTTACTCTAAGCTAAAAGAAGCCCAAGCCGGGCTCGGTGGCTCAGCCTGTAATCCCACGCCTTTGGGAGGCTGAGGTGAGTGGATTGCCTGAACCCGCGGGTTCGAGACCCACCTGGGCAGCGAGACCTCATCTCTACAATAAATAAAAAAATCAGCTGGGCGTGGTAGCGCATGCCTGTAATTCCGGCTACTCGGAAGGCTGAGGCGGAAGGATCGCCGGAGCACAGCAGGTCAAGGCTGCGGTGGCCAGGAGCGGCCACTGCACTCCAGTCTGGGCGACAGAGTGAGATTCCAACTCAAAAAAAAAAAAAGAAATTCAAAGAAAGTATCATTTTTCTATCCTTGTCTTTTTAGAATGATACTTAAATTCTCATTCAGTATGGTTGATGTTCCTGTTCTTAATGCTCCTCAGGGATGGAACTTCACTAACTCTCCTCAATGTCTGATTAGAATGTGTTTGATTCTTATATGCTTATTTAGGTATTAGGTATTTGTATGGTGAGATATATAGCATATAATGAAATAATACTGAAGTGACCATGAATACAAATATCTGGTGAGTATCTGAACATTTTAGCTTAGAGTGACGATTCTCAATTCTGCCATGGGTTACCACTTACTTCAAGAGGTATCACAAACTTTTCTAAACCTCGTTGTTTGAAATTAACTTTATTAAGTAAACCTGTGCCAGAGATAATACTCTCAAAATGGGTAAAGGCTGTATAAGAAAGCCAACTGTGATATGGTGTCAGGACTCTAGAATTGCTGTGAATTATAAAAATATTCTCTTTTACAAGCTGCTTTGCAGAATTTTTGTCAGAAATTTTAGAGGATAACAAGGTTTCTTTTGTGTTCCCAGGCTACAAGATCAAGCTGCAGAGACCATTGAAGCTCTGCATGCAGCAGGCCTGAAAGTCTGGGTGCTTACTGGGGACAAAATGGAGACAGCCAAATCCACATGCTATGCCTGCCGCCTTTTCCAAACCAACACCGAGCTCTTGGAACTCACCACAAAAACCATTGAAGAAAGTGAAAGGAAAGAAGACAGGTTACATGAATTGTTGATAGAATATCGTAAGAAGTTGCTGCATGAATTTCCTAAAAGCACTAGAAGCCTTAAGAAGTAAGAAAATGCATCTATTTCTTATATATAGACATTAATACAGATGTAAATCACAGTTCCTTATGCAAAAGGTTCCATTTTCTGTAATTTATCATTTTCTATTTGCAGGTGTTTTATGCTTACAAGTTAAAATCTTCTCTGAGGACATAGCTAATGGCCCACTTATGATTATTTGGCACTTTCCACCTCTCCTTTAACTTAAAAGAAAACTGCATTTCTCAAGTTTTAGAAAAATAGTTCAGATGGGATAGGGTGCATTCAGGTAGTATGGCCAGAGACTAGAAAAATAGCTCAGTCTTCAAATTTTTATAGTCTTGGTATTCAATATTGATATCCTGGCCTGGTCTATGCTAAGAAAAAATATTTCTTTTTCTTAAATTGAATGTAATGAAATCAGCCTCTATAAAGGTTTTCATGCATTTTTAGGTTCTGGGTGCCATTTTCTGTGAATTCTTGTGCCCCAGAACTCCAAAGGGAGCCAAATGCTTGTTAACATGGCTGCTTTAATTCTGCCTTCAACTAGCTGCTCAGGAAAAACTTGTGGGACATAACAGTCTTAAGGAAAGTCATTGCCCAGAGATGTATCTTCTATACTTTCCATTGGCTAAGGCTCAGCCTTGTATAAACCAATTACTTGAATTTACCTCAGCCATAAGCAAATTGATTTCCTTTTTTGGAATGCTACCAGCTGTGCTTGCATGAAAACAAAGATCCTGAAGCAATACTATTTTCCATTTCTTGAGCACATTTTATGTTCCAGGAACAGTGTTAAGGGCTTTATATGCTTATTCTCATGTAATCATCATTAACAACCCAGTTAGGCACTCCTATTTTCTTCCTTTTACAGATAGGGAAACTGAGACTCAGCAAGATGAAGTGACTTGTTCAACATCACACAGCTAATAAGCAATTAGACAAGTCCATCACATTCTAGAGCCCATGCTTTTAACAAATATGCTATATCTGTATCCTCATCTCTAATGTTTAAACAAGTTTTAAAAATGAATAACTCACATTAATGACACTATGGCAAATTTTAAAACAGCTATTGTTCTTCTGCTTGGGCATAAGTGAGAATATACAATTTTTTGTTAATTGCCTGTGAGAAATGTTTCCTTTAGCCAAATGGTACTTATAAAGATGGTCCAAATTGCATACATTTTACTTGTCTTAGTCTACTTGGGCTGCCATAACAAAATACCATAGACTGAATGACTTAAACAATAGAAGTTTATTTCTCACAGTTCTAGAGGCTGAAGGTCTGTGATTGGAATGCCAGCATGGTTGAGTTTTGGTGAGGGCCCTCTTCCTGGCTTATAGGTGACCACCTTCTCCCTGTTCCCTGACATGGCAGAGATCTCTGATGCCTTTTCCTCTTATAAGGGCAGTAATCCCATCATAGGGCTCCACCTTCATTAGCTCATCTATACTTAATTACCTCCTGAGGATCCCACTTCCTAATACCATAACATTGGAAGTTAGAGCTTCAGTGGATAAATTTTGGGACAACACAATTCAGTCTATAACAGGCACAAATCCCATCATGAGGTTGAGACCCTCATGACTTTACCTAAACCTAATCACCCCCTAAAGGCTTCTTCTCCAAACATTGTCATGTGGTAGGGGTAGGTCTTCAACATATATATTTTGGGGAAACACAGTTCAGGCCATAGTACCATTCAGTAGCTCTGAGGGGCACTTTTGTAAAAGCTAGGGTTTATGAAAAACTTAATACACCATACCATCTCAGATCAGTTATCTTCCTGATTATCTGTTTGGAGTTGGGCACAAGTCTTCTCCATAATTTTGCAGACTTTAGACTCAGAATCACCTTTGCCAACTTCTGCTTCCTTGCCCCTTCTGCTTCAAATCAGCCCCCAAGCCTTATTCACACTCCCATTCTTACCACTAGTGCCCCACATCAGAGGCCCTATCACCCATGCCTTGAATATTTTAAGCCCCTCTGCCAGATGAATGGTCTTTTTTTTCTTTTTTTGAGTTGGAGTCTCACTCCATTGCCCAGGCTGGAGTGCAGTGGCATACTCATAACCACCCCAGCGTTGACCTGCTGGGCTCCGGCGAGCCTTCCACCTCAGCCTTCCAAGTAGCCGGAACCACAGGCATGCACTACCACATCCAGCTAATGTTTGATTTATTATAGAGATGAGGTCTCGCCAAGTTGCCCAGGCTGGTCTCGAACCCACAGGCTCAGGTAATCCACTCGCTTCGACCTCCCAAGGTGCTGGGATTACAGGCTGAGCCACTGAGCCTAACCTGAGTGATCTTTAAGTAAAGCACTGTCAGCTGGGCTCGGTGGCTCAGCCTGTAATCCCGTGCCTTTGGGAGGCTGAGGTGA